TCAATAATTCCAAAGAGACGTAGACAGACCTTGTGCAGTAATCAAAGACATAGTAAAATTACTCAAATGAAAAGACATCACAACCAGCCATGAGATTCACACTATTAAAAGTCCTTACACGAACTATTTCATAAACAAGAGAAGTTCATCTCAGCAAAACCCATTCTATAAGTGTCATGTATGAGAAAATTCCCAAAGCTAGGCATCTGAGCCAGCCTACTTTATCTTTTCACAAAAAATAAAACCAGACACAGCATACTAGATATGATATTGTATATTAATAAAATCGTCTTTTCTTCCTAATCTCAATCAAGAGCCTCTGACACTATACTCTCAAAGGGCAACCAAGAACAATATACACTAGCACTACTGGATGATCAATGAACCATGCATAATACTCCCCAAGGGTCTGTAGTTGCATATTAGCAATAATTTATAAACAAACAGGTTTCAGAATGCAAGGATGAGTTTCTGTAAAAGCATTAGAAACAGTGTTTACCTCAATCATACCACTTCTGACAGCAGATAACGAAACGTCAATGAGGAAAAAATACAGTGGCGGCATAGGAGGCCGCACCATATATTCAGTTGGAGCAACAAATTCCACGCTACCCCATGTAAGCTCAGGTCGTTGATCCAAATCAATTCTTCTGCCAGTGGCATCCAAATGAGCAAAGTAATCCCCAGGGACTGAACGAGAAAGTAAATCCAATTTATCACTTTATGCTTGACCAGAAATATTAAATAAGATATATTTACCAAGAACCAAACAACATCCCACTACCATGGTTAATATTCCCACTACCATGGTTAATATTTAGTAACCAAAAACAAGTATCTAGCAAGAAAACTTGATTGCATTCAGGTAAAACCAGGATTAAAAATAAAGCAAAGCTGCTGTACATTCATCATGATATTAGAAACTTCAGTGCACTAAGGGAAAATTATTAAGAATTAGAAAATGCAAAATACTACTCTAGCATGACAGGTTGCAATGTTGAAAATATCTGCATTATGAAATAAAAAATGAATATAATAACAACATTTTGGACTATAAAGCAAGCAGGAATATTCAATACATATATTGCACAATATATTACAGAAATTCTATTTGGGGAAGTATAACTAACAAACAAATAAAACATATGGCAAACTCAGCTGCTTAATGCAGCCAACATGGAAAAGCATGAAGTTGAACATAGGAAGATTTTGTGTCAACATTCTGCATCCTTCCATACATTTGTTAATAATAATAGGGAAAATTAGGTTCACATCCTTCTTTTTGTTACTCCATTGATTAAAATCCTATTCATTTTCAATTTCTGATCAAGGTCCTTGGGTATTAATAACATCATTAATTTGAATAATAAAATATTTTTATTTTTAAATATATTCGTTAAGTGTTAAAAATGTTACAATTAGTATATTTATATTATGGCTAAATTTTTTATCATATATTTTTATTTTCAGTTTGTACCTATTTTTAATTTGCAAATATTTTTTAATTTGTACCAATTTTCTTTTCATTTTTAATTTGTACCCATATATTAGTTTCTTTTTGTGCCCAATTTTTTAAAATTTTACTTGTGTTTGTACCCATGTGTATACCGTCACGTGACATTGTATATTTAATCAATGATAGAAAAATTACATATGGTATATTTATGTTTTATGTCTAAACTTGTATCATATATTTATATTTTTAGTTTGTAACCACTTTTAATTTGCAACATTTTTTAAAAAATTTATAGTATTTTCTTTTTAGTTTTATTTTGTATCCATGTATTAATTTCTTTTAGCACCTATATTTTTTAAAAATTCATTTGTACTCATAATTTTTTAATCTTTTATCCGTACCCTAATTTATTTATAATGTACCCATTCTTCTTTATTAATGTACCACTTTGTTATATGTGAAATGTACCTATTTTTTTTGTAAAATGTACCAAGTTTTTTAACACCATGGATACATTCTTTTGCCATTTATTATTTCTTATTTTTACATAGTTTTTATCCATTTATTAAATTAAAATGTTTGAATTTTTTTATTGTAACTGTTTCTAATAGTATTATAATGAGGGAAATCTCATAAAATATCAAACAATTAATGTCAAAACTATAAAAATATAAATATTAATAGTAATATAATGAGGTGTACAAAGTCAAGAGACTTTGATCAAACTTTGAATACTATTAAGGTTTTAATCAAAGAATGTTAAGGATTAGGGATTGCATCCAAAGTATCCCATAATAATAAGTTCAATTTATTCTTGAGGAATTCCATTTACCATCATTAAGCAGAGCACAAATGTTGCAACGCCACTTTCTTCCAGCATCTGTAAATGTCACATAGGGGTTCACATATGTCCGACATCTTCTACAGCGAATAATCCCGGCAGAACCAAAATTAACAATTGGAACTTCCTCCTAGACAGATAACAAGGAACAAGATAGTTACAGTGAATCAAACTTCAATCAATTTTGATCATTTTGAATGTGTGAGTAATAGATGCACATGCACTAACCCCATCAGGTGGTTCAGCAAGTGGACAAACAACTGCTCCCAAAGGTAAATGCCACCTTGAAGACAAAGACTGAGAACTTGGTATTGCACCAGTTGTAAACCGTAGAAATCTAGGATTGCAGTTCATGGGATACATCTGAGCAAGTGCTTTTGGCTCCACGTCACCAGCCAAAGGCCTTGGCAAAGCTTTAGGGTCAAGTCCAGGTTCAATTGATCCGGGAACAGATCCAATAGATAGTGAGCTGAAGTCGTCCGTCAAGGCTTGGACAGCACCAACAGGAGGTCCAGAACCGTGATGTTGCATGTGGTCCCTTGACTGCATACCCAATGGAGCTGCACCCTGCGGAGGTGGAGCATAACCTCCTTGGTGAGAAGCAAAAGGAGAGGACACTGCTGGTGGAGCAGCTGCATAGTTTCCTTGATGAGTAAGAAATGGAGACTGAGCAGGTGGGGCTTGTGAGTCTGCACTAGACTGCTTACGGGGGAATCCAGGAAAAGATGTCTGAGAATTTGGTAGGGAAGCTGGGAATGATGAATCTGATGGAGACTGAAGAGCATTCACACTTGGTGGTACAGAATTAAAGCTTTGAGGTGGAGGTCCCATTGGCACAGAAGGTATCTGCTGTTGTGGTCGTTGAAATGGTGCTTGACCTGGAGGAGGTTGATATGGCATTTGGCCTACAGGTGGACCACGTGTAGGGGGTGCTTGTGCTGCTGATAGATATTGTGGTGTTGGGAAACGGGACAAAGGTCCAACACTCGGCGGGACACTTGAAGTTGGCGGAGGAGGCACAGATGGATCATGAAACCTACCTGGCGGGGTAGGTCTAAAATGGGAGGCTTGTGCTCCAACAGATCCAGTTGACGAGAACGGCACATTAGTCTGTGGAGCAACCGGTGGAGTAGGTCCGAAGTTAGAGGCAGCTGCACCAACCACAGGCCCAGACGATGAAAAAGGTGTCTGTTGAGTGACATGTGGAGGAGGTCTAAAACCAGATGCCTCCTGTCCAACCATGGGACCTGAAGATGAAAAAGGCATCATGTTCTGAGGAGGAGCCGCAAATGGTGCAGTGGCAGGTCTTGTAGTAAAATTCGGACGACCAGGGTTTTCAGTCCCCATAACTTTGGTTACAAACACCTGCTACTTCAGTAGCAACAATGCTCTCATGACCTAGACCTGCTCCTACAGCCAAGAGAAGAAGTTTGGTTTATCATCCAAGAACATCAATATGTCACTACATCACAGCTTAGACACTCGCAGTATTACGGTATGGAATCATATAACACAAAGACGTACATTCAAATTATTTCTTTTTTTTTTCTTTTGTTTTGTTTGTTTTTTTTTTGCATCAAACGTAACAAAGCGATACTGATGGAATAAGCAAATAATGAACTCGAAAATAGATCAAACCCTCTATGTCAACACTAAGCTCGTCTAGTCTCGCAAAATTAATAAAGCAGCCCAAGCAAGAATGTCGGCTTGAATCCTTAATCTTGAATTTGTAATATTTGACTACACTTAAGCATCACTAACAATTAATTTAAAATTCCACTAGCAATCCTAAACAGCTAGAACAGTTAACAAGGTCAAAACTCATAAACCACCCAATCCTAACTCTTAACTCCTAAGGCTTAACTCTCACATGATCGAATCATAAACGGTGCACAATGGATCACGATATACCATTAGGAATTAACCTATAAGCAATAATGGACCAAACATGGATAAACAAAATGTGATTAATTAAGCATAATTTAGCACTACCACAAATATTAACTTTATGATTGCTGACACTAAAAAACAACAATCCCACAATCCTAAAAACGTAATTACAACAAAGAGAAAGCATAATTTAGCATGCACACAGAGACAGTGTAGCAGATCTTAATCGGAAAAAATCGAAAAGAAAAGCACTACCCAAATCCCAAATTTGTAGCATCTATATGGATCAAGAAAACCTAGATGAAAATTAGAGCCACGTTTGCGAACCGATGGAAATCGAATGCAAAACCCAATGAAAACTAGAAAGCAAAAACAGACCCGACTAGATTGCGAGTTGAATTCTGGAAATTTATTGAGACTCAAAGCAGGGAAAAGTGAACTATATCGAACGAAACGAGTTGAAGGACTCGTTCGGTTGATTTAATCGCAGAGTGGCAAATCGAGATTCAGAGAGAGAGAGGGAGAGAGAGACAGGAAGAAGTGCTTACCTTTGCCAGCCTGAGGAGAGAGAAAGTCTAGAGAGAGGGTGAAAAACGAGAAACACGAAAGAGAAACTGTCACTGGGTTAATATTTTCATCCACCTCAACGACGTCGTTTTCATTCTTGTATGGAAATTATAAAATAATAAAAATGATAGTGAAAATTTTAAATTTTAACGAAATATAAAATAAATAGTACCGAGATTAAATTTTTAATATAAAAATATGAATTTTATGAATTGTATCGAAACTTTTCGTTAAAATTACGATTATAAATACAAAGTACGAATCAGGTCAAGTCTTCATCCACAGCTCTCTATTTCTCTCTCTCTGTTTCCATCTCTCAATTATTATTAGTTCCTTTTTCAATCTTCTTAAGCTTCGCAGATTGATCCTAAACCTCTCATTTCGATCCAAATCCATCCTCCAATTCCCCCCAAATCAGCTTCACTTTTCGATTTTGGCACCAGTTTCAGAGGCCTAATTGGCAAACGAGTCCTCCTCCGAATCCTCCACCAAAAGCTGGTAAAGTTCCAAGTTTTTATTCAATTTGATCAACTGGGTTTTGCTTTTTTCCTTCAAATTTTGAGGGTTTGATATCCAAGCAGCTGGCGTTAGCTTTGTCAATCCGATTATTATGTTTCGATTCTGCATCGAAAATTACAAAAAAAAAAAAAAAAAATTGAATTTCCATCAGTAAATGGATCTTGTTTGTTTCTTCAGAATCTGAAATTTTGAGAAGCAGATTTAGCAACTTGGAAATAATTTTGTTAATGGCTTATTGGAAATGGTTTTTTCAGGTCAGGTATGATGCATCAAGCTTGGAGCTTCATTTGGGAGATTGAGAAATTAGCTGGGAACAAGTTTTCGAAATCTTTTCGATCAATCGCAAAGTAAGTACTTAAACAAGTTTTCGATTTCAATCGATTTGTTATTAATTTTTTATGATTAGAAGTTAAATTTATATTGATATTGTTGACAGCTCCAGAGGGATTCCCCGTTTTTTTTTTTTTTTTTTTTTTTTTTACTTTGTGTGTGTGTGAGAGATACTCTGTTTCGTTCCTGATATTTGGTTGAAAGCAAATCTGAACTTTAATATAACTTCGGCGATAAATTTTGAATGTCAAGATTAAGGGTGGTTGGAAAACAAAGAAAAGATTAAAAAAATTCGAGTTTTAGTGGAAAAGGACGGTTAACAATATATGATTGCTTATAGCTGTTTGAGCTTGAATCTCAATATAGGTAATAAATTTTGATGCGAAGTTCTCAAGAGTGAGCGATATTTGAATTTTACATGTGCTGGTGTTAGTATGTACTGTTGGTATTGCATACGCAGAAAGCTAAATTAAGAAAAGTTTTCAGGTCAACTTTTCACTATGTGGAGAGCAGGAAGCGAACTGATAAACATTTGTTATTTCTCACAGTTTATGCTGATCAGCATAGTCAGCAGGCTGAATTTCCAAGGTTGTAGAATTTATATCTGAAGTGTCGTCAATGGCTGAGCAACGAAAAGGTAATGTCAAACCTGCGAATGGGAAGCCATCAGGAACCGCAACAGCAGCGGCCAGTGCATATTCCATTGATCTCAATAACTTCAGCAAGCGGTTAAAGATGTTATATTCACATTGGAGGGAACATCGTAGTGATCTATGGGGTGAATCTGATGCACTTGCAATAGCAACTCCTCCAACTTCTGAGGATCTGCGGTATCTGAAATCCTCAGCAATGAATATCTGGTTGCTTGGTTATGAGTTCCCAGAAACTATCATGGTTTTTGCAAAGAAGCAGATCCATGTTTTGTGTAGCCAGAAAAAGGCCTCTCTCCTTGATGCTGTGATAAAGCCTGCAAAAGAGGCTGTTGGTGTTGAAGTGGTTATGCATGTAAAACTCAAAGGCCAGGATGGAACTGGACTGATGGATAGCATATTCCGAGCTGTAAATCCCCACTCGAGCTCCGATGCTCCTGTTGTCGGACACATAGCAAGAGAGGCTCCTGAAGGGAAACTTTTGGAGACTTGGAGTGAGAAGTTGAAGAATGCTAATTTTGAGTTGAGTGATGTGACCAATGGGTTCTCGGACTTGTTTTCCGTCAAAGACCCCGTTGAGCTTACATATGTGAAGAAAGCGGCATACTTGACTTCATCAGTGATGAAGACTTTTGTGGTACCTAAGCTTGAGAAGGTCATTGATGAGGAAAAGAAAATTTCCCATTCTTCATTGATGGATGACACGGAAAAGGTCATATTGGAGCCTGCAAGAATTAAGGTGAAGCTGACGGCAGCAAATGTTGATATTTGCTATCCTCCAATTTTTCAGAGTGGAGGGCAATTTGATCTGAAGCCAAGTGCTTCAAGCAATGATGAGAACCTTTGTTATGACTCTACTAGTGTGATTATATGTGCTGTCGGATCAAGGTACAAAAGCTACTGCTCCAATATTGCTCGAACATATCTGATTGATGCAAATTCTACGCAGAGCAAGGCTTATGAGGTTCTGCTTAAAGCTCAAGAAGCTGCAATCAGTAATTTAAAATCTGGGAAGAAGTTAAGTGCTGCATACCAAGCTGCACTCTCAGTAGTTGAAAAGGAGGCTCCAGAGCTGGCTGGAAACTTGACTAAAACAGCTGGAACTGGAATTGGCCTTGAGTTTCGTGAGTCGGGGCTTAATCTTAATGCTAAGAATGACCGAATTTTGAGACCAGGGATGGTTTTCAACGTTTCTCTGGGTTTCCAGAACGTGCAGGCACAGACAAAAGACCCTAAGACCCAGATATTTTCACTGTTAATAGCAGATACAGTTATTGTTGGTAAGGAGACCCCTGAAGTTTTGACTAATTCAAGCAAAGCTGTTAAGGATGTGGCGTACTCATTCAATGATGATGATGAAGAAGAAGAGCAGGCAAAACCTAGATCCAGTAGTAAAGGTGCCGGGAGTGCGATGAGTAAGGCCACACTTAGATCAGACAACCATGAAATGTCGAAAGAAGAGCTACGAAGGCAGCACCAAGCCGAACTTGCCCGCCAAAAGAATGAAGAAACTGCTAGAAGGCTTGCTGGTGGGGGTTCTGCAGCTAACGACAATCGTGGTGCTGGGAAGACAGTTGGTGATCTGATTGCATATAAGAATGTCAATGATCTGCCTGCTCCAAAAGAGTTGATGATTCAGGTTGACCAGAGGAATGAAGCTATCCTCTTGCCGGTTTATGGAAACATGATTCCTTTTCACATAGCCACTGTGAAGAGTGTTTCCAGCCAGCAGGATACTAACCGGAATTGCTACATCCGTATAATCTTTAATGTACCTGGTACTCCATTTAGCCCCCATGATGCAAACACCCTGAAGTTTCAAGGGTCAATTTTTTTAAAGGAAGTTTCATTCCGTTCCAAGGACCCGAGGCATATAAGTGAAGTAGTACAGCAAATTAAAACTCTTCGCAGGCAGGTTGCCTCAAGGGAATCTGAAAAAGCTGAAAGGGCAACTTTAGTTACGCAGGAGAAGCTGCAAATTTCAGGAGCCAAATTCAAGCCAAAAAGATTGCCAGATCTATGGATTCGCCCCGTTTTTGGGGGACGTGGAAGAAAGCTCACTGGATCACTGGAAGCCCACGCGAATGGATTCCGGTATTCGACTTCAAGGTCTGAAGAACGTGTCGATGTTATGTTTAGCAATATCAAACATGCATTTTTCCAGCCAGCTGAGAAGGAAATGATTACCCTGCTGCACTTTCATCTGCACGATCATATTATGGTAGGAAACAAAAAGACAAAGGACGTGCAATTTTATGCGGAGGTGATGGATGTAGTGCAGACACTGGGAGGTGGAAGAAGGTCAAACTATGATCCTGATGAGATCGAGGAAGAGCAACGTGAAAGGGAACGAAAGAACAAAATTAATATGGAGTTCCAGAACTTTGTGAACCGAGTAAATGATTCGTGGGGGCAACCTCCATTCAAATCACTTGATCTTGAGTTTGATCAGCCCCTTAGAGAGCTTGGCTTCCATGGAGTACCTCATAAAGCGTCAGCTTACATTGTCCCAACTTCAAGCTGTCTGGTTGAGCTGAGAGACACCGTTTGTGGTAATTACTCTGAGCGAGATTGAAATAGTAAACCTTGAGAGAGTTGGTCTAGGGCAAAAGAACTTTGATCTGACTATTGTTTTCAAGGACTTCAAGCGAGATGTCTTCCGAATTGATTCTATTCCCTCGACATCTCTAGATGGAATTAAGGAGTGGTTAGACACCACTGATCTCAAGTATTATGAGAGTAGGTTGAATCTCAACTGGCGTCCTATCCTCAAAACCATTACTGACGACCCCGAGAAGTTCATAGAGGATGGTGGATGGGAATTTTTGAACATGGATATTAGTGATTCGGATTCCGACAATTCTCAGGAGTCTGACCATGGGTATGTGCCTTCAGATGTACAGTCGGATTCAGGTTCAGATGAGGAGGATGATGACAGCGAGTCATTGGTGGAGTCGGAAGATGATGAGGAAGAAGAATCCGGAGAAGACTCAGAAGAGGCTGAAGGAAAGACATGGGAAGAGCTGGAGAGGGAAGCAAGCCACGCGGACAGGGAAAAAGGGAATGGGTCGGACAGTGAAGAGGAGAGGGCAAGAAGGAAGGTTAAGGCTTTTGGAAAGGCTCGAGTTCCCGACAAGAGGAACATTGGTGGCAGCCTGCCCAAGAGGCCCAAATTTAGGTGACATTGTTTTTGTCTTCAGTTTTTTTTTTTTTTTTTTTTTTTTTCTTGAGTTTTGCAGCAGCATTGGATTTGAGTTGTGTGTGTTATTTTGAAGATGTTAAAGAGTTACCAAAAGGGTAAAAGTAAGTTTAAGTTTTTGTTGAATCTTCGTTCTTTCTGTGTGTTAAAACAAACTTTTTTCTTGTAAGATTAGTAAAAAAAAGGATTAAAGGGCATTACATGTTGGAGCAAAATTTCCTACAGGAAGAAATACCTCCACATATTTGTTGACTGCAATCATCACGTTCGCTGAATGAGGTGTCCCCGAACAGTCTTTCTCCGTAGCTAGTCTGGGCGGGGTACCTGCAAGAGATACTTCGACGCTCAAGTCAGGCGATTGATTTTCTATTATTTGCTTTCTCTCGGGTTCTAATTATGTACCTTGATCTTTGGCTCCTCTCCACATTTATAGGACTACATGCTTGGGAAACAAGTACCACGACCTGTCTTCCTCTCCCTCTTCCTTAGTGGTCCTCCGTAGTGGAGGTAGTTATCTAGACACGTTTCCCTTGCGCACCTCCACCTTTGGATGATTGGTATTGGTCCATGAGTCGAAACTGGATTTTATCCTCCCACACATGTATATATCTTTTACCATACTTTTGGCACTTTTTTTGGTTGCTTTATGAATCCTGTAGTGAATGTGGTTTTTTGGTAATAAGTTACTTGCAGGTGAAGAAACGCCAACGGGGTAAAATGTGTATCGCTTGCGGATGCATGCAAAAGCTTGTTTGGGTTGTATTAGGGTAAGGAATGAATTACATGAACTTATACTTGGGCGAAGGGATGGATGAATTTGGATATGAACTGATGGATTTTGATCTGAATCGTTCACCGTCTTATCCTTCGTTCCAACCAATAACATCGTTCGATTCTCCCTTGCTTCCTCCACACCCCAGAAATGGCATGCATTTGAATGCATATGGATAAAGAATGGTAGACGGCATACTTTCTTTAAGCAACTAGCCTAACTTACATCGGCAAATGCCTTTTTCTTTGTAAGAACAATACGGCGTTGCGAAAAAATTATTTCGCTTATTTGGGAAACAACGTACAAAAAGAGGTGCACAATACAAAGCAACATTCATAATTCTTCCAAGTGTGGAAATTAAACAAGAAGAATAGGGGCAATCAAAGACCTAAACAAGTTAAAAACAACACAAACGGTGATAAAGCTTTTACTTCCAGCATAATACTACAATTTACAAGCAAAAGGTCTAGTCTCACTCTATGCATCTGCAGCATAAGTCTATTCGGTCCAAATTGCGATAACGAAAGAACTTAAACCGAACTAGTAAAATTAAAAGTTCCAAGCAACTACCGTCAGACGACTTCTAAAAACATTAACATGTCACTGACATGAAACAATCACACGACCTATCTCATCTTACTCCGCTTCGGGATGCTACTAGTAGGAGGTGGGGCTCGAGACTTTCCAAAAGCTTTCGCCTTCCTTCTCTTCCTGTCCTCCTCACTGTCTGATTCGTTCCCTTTCTCCCTATCTGCATTGCTTGCTTCCCTCTCCAGTTCATCCCACGATAACCCATCCTCATCTGACTCCGCTTCTCCGTCCTCATCCTCAGACTCAACAACCGATTCACTATCAGAATCCTCATCATCCGATTCATCTGATTCAGCAGATTCGATATCCGATGGTTCGTAACCCTGGTCTGACTCCTCCGACTGTTCAGACTCTGAATCAGACGCTTCCAAATTCAAAAACTCCCAACCTCCATCTTCAATGAAGCTCTGCGGGTCATCGGTGATTGTCTTCAGTATCTGTTTCCAGTTGAGATTCAGCCTGCTCTCATAATACTTGAGGTCAGTTGTGTCGAGCCATTCCTTGATACCATCAAGTGCTGTCGAAGGGATCGAGTCAATCCGGAGAACGTCCTTTTTGAAGTCCTTGAATACAATGGTCATGTCAAAATTCTTCTGCCCAAGGCCAACTCTTTCCAGATTCACAATCTCAATCTCACTTAGACTGACAACAAGGAAAGGAGTTTCTATCAGTTCAACCAAGCAGGTTGAAGTAGGGACAATAAATGCTGATGATTTATGAGGTACACCATGGAAACCAAGCTCTCTCAGAGGTTGATCAAACTCAAGGTCCCTAAACTGTGACTGCCCCCAAAGCTCATTAACCCGATTCACAAAGTTCTGAAAATCCATATTTATTTTGTTCTTCCTATCCCTCTCCCGCTGCTCTTCTTCAATCTCATCTGGGTCATAAGCAGACCTCCTACTACCTCCCAAGGTCTGAACTGTGTCCATCACCTCAACATAGAATTGCACGTTTTTTGTTTTCTTGTTGCCCACCATGATGTCATCGTGCAGATGAAAGTGGAGGAGAGTGATCATCTCATTCTCCGCTGGCTGGAAAAAGGCATGCTTAATATTTGCAAACATAACATCCAGGCGCTCCTCCTGCCTGGTGGTAGAATAACGAAACCCATTTGCATGAGCTTCTAGAGCACCAGGAATCTTTCTTCCACGGCCACCAAAAACAGGTCGAATCCAAAGGTCAGACAATCTTATTGGCTTAAATCTGTTACCAGCTATTTGGAGTTTCTCCTGAGTAACCAGTGTCGCCTTCTCAGCTATCAAGGACTCCCTGGACACAACTTGCCTTCGCAGCCCTTTAATCGCCTGTACCACTTCACTTATGTGCCTTGGATCCTTGGAGCGAAATGAAACTTCTTTTAAATATATAGACCCAAGGTTCTTCAGTGAGTTGCCATCATGAGGACTAAAAGGAGTCCCAGGGACATTAAACATGATTCTGATATAACAGTTCCGATTTGTGTCCTGTTGACTGGAAACTGTCCTTATGGTTGCAACATGAAAAGGGATCATACTGCCATAAATAGGCAACAGAACAGCTTCATTCTTCTGGTCAATCTGAATCATTAGTTGATTCAGACCTTTTGGTGGAGCGACATCATTTACATTCTTGTAGGCAATTAAATCCGTTAAAGCCCTTGCTGCAGAACGATTGTCACCCGGTGCAGATCCAGCACCAGCAAGTCTGCGGGCAGTTTCTTCATTTTTCTGACGGGCAAGCTCTGCCTGATGTTGCCTGCGGAGTTCCTCCTTTGAAATCTCATGATTGTCTGACCTCAATGTTGTCTTAGACATTAAGGCCTCCCTTCCATTAGCCTCATCATTCGGTTTTTTGGGCTTTTCAGCTTCCTCTTCATCTCCATCATTAAAGGAGTATGCCACATCCTGAAGATTCTTAGAGCTTCTACTTGTCACCACCTCTGGCTTGTCATTGCCAATAACTACAGTGTCCGCAAGCAACAAAGCGTAGTTTTGGTTTTTAGGATTGCTGCGACCACTCTGTAAGTTCTGAAACCCAAGTGACACATTAAAGACCATGCCTGCTTTCACCAACCGCTCATTCTTTGCATTTATATTCAACCCAGATTCACGGAACTCAAGGCCGATACCAGTCCCAGCCGATTTTGTCAAATTTGATACTAATTCAGGAGCCTCCTTCTCCACCACAGCAAGGGCAGCTTGATAAGCAGCACTGACCGTCTTCCCAGGCTTCAACTCACTAATGGCTGCATTATGGGCCTTGAAGAGAACTTCATATGCCTTGCTCTGACTGGAAGTAGCATCAATCAGAAAGGTCCTGGCAATATTTGAGCAGTAACTCTTGTAGCGGGACCCAACAGCACATATGATCGCGCTAGCAGAATCATAATAAAGCAACTCATCATTGCTAGCAGCACTGGGTCTGAGATCAAACTGTCCTCCACTCTGAAATATTGGGGGGTAACAGATATCAACATTATCAGCCCGGAGCTTCACCTTAGCTTTAGATGGTTCCATTATAGCTTTCTCTGCCTCATCCATCAAAGAAGAATGGGTAACTTTCTTCTCCTCATCAATAACAGTCTCAAGCTTTTTAACAACTACTTCGGTCATGACACTAGCAGACAAGACAGCGGCTCTCTTGATATTTAAAATCTCGTCATTGTCCTTAACAGCAAACAGGTCAGACAACCCATTTGTTACATCGCCCAACTGAAAATTTGCATCCTCAAGCTTCTTGGACCATGTTTCCAAGAGGTTTCCCTCAGGGGCCTCCCTTGCAATATGTCCAACGACAGCTGTGTCATGGCCATCAGCCTTCGATTGAGCACGAATGGCACGGAAAATTGCCTCCATCAGAGCACTTCCATCATCACTCCTTGTCTTCTCATGCATCACAACATCAACACCCACAGCTTCCTTGGCAGACTTTTTTACAACTTCCAACAAAGACACCTTCTTCGTACTGCACAAGAAATGAATCTGCTTCTTCATGAAAACCATAATGGTCTCTGGAAACTCATAACCCACCAGCCAAATATTCAATGCTGAAGATTTAAGGTACCGCAGATCTTCTGATGCTTTTGGTGTCGCTATTGCAACAACATCAGAAGAACCCCACAAATCAGATCGATGTTTATTCCAATGAGAATAAAGTAACTTCAATCTCTCGCTGAAGACTTTCAAATCAATGTTATAGGCACTTCCTGCTCCAGCTGCAGCCTTCCCATTAGCGGGCTGGCTATTTCCATTTCGACGATCAGCCATTACAACCAATTTCTACACATGACAAACATCAACTAATCACTTTCAGCCAATTAAATATATTATTTAACTCAAGAACAAAATTCGCACTTTATCAATATCCAAATTTTTTATTTTTTATTTTTTTGCAATATAAGTCCTAAAAATCTCAATTAGGGTTTCACACAAGTTAGCATTACTAGGGTTTCGCGACACCATCAACATTCATAGAAAGCTAAAATTATATCTGGAAAAACCCCGAAAATCATCATCACCAACTCCCTTCGACTTTCCAATAAAAAATCCCCAACTCGACAACCGAATTAGGGTTCCTATTACCTCCCCCAAACATACAAAAATCGTCGAAAACCACTAAATTAATCCATGAACAGCAATACAGAAACCGAAATCGTACCTTTCTGAACCTTCAGGAACGGCCTTCTGCAAACTTCTACGGCTCCGCAATGTCGAATAGGGTTTCAGTTCGGGGTTCTAGGGCTTCGCGGCGACAAGTACCGGATACATTGACCAAAACGCAAATTTTAGAGTAAGAGAGAGAGCGAGAGAGGGAGATAGAGAACCTAGGGTTTCGAAGCGAGGGATGAGAGAGAAA